TTGTGCCACAATTAATTGATTTTCCAGATGCATGGAGTTTGGGTTGTTCACGTACATAACAAGCTTTCCAAGGTACTGTAGACTCGGAAGTTGCAACAAATTTCACATATGGAACTCTAATCTGCCACGGTGAGAGTTTGGGCCTTAATTCTCAGCGTGCAGGTTCTCAGCTAGAGCTAGAAACCTTGAAACCTTGAGTGAATTTAACGTACGTGACTTTCCCAATCCGAGCTACGGCGGAATCTTATCGGACTAGTTAATTTCAATCACGAAACTTTGGAGCTAGACCCCGGCCCGTTTTTACAATGGTTCCTCGCGCGACTCGCGCGCAGGGCAAAAATGAGCTAGCCTATTGGTAGTGGCTTTCGAAATTTGATCAAAGTTGAATTATATGTCTTGGATCGGACGCTGACGACCGCGAAATCGGTGAAATCATAGAATTGGGACTGGTCTGAGTTCACAACTTAAAAATAACATGACAAGCCCGGGAATTCGAACAAAACCGTTATTCCCAAGTCCGGCAGCGTGGCAACGCGTCCAACTGAGCCTGTAAGGGGGCCTATTTTGGGGAGGTTTTAGGGTTCTAGGGTTCTAGGGTTTTAGGGTTACTAAAGTTTAGGGTGGCCCTTTCCCATCATGTTCCATTACATAAGCGTTGGCAATGCATGGCCTTTGAATATAACGTTGCTAACGAGGCCAGATTGTAGTCAAATGTAATATCAAGGATATCCTTCAATACCGTACTGTCGGTATATGCGGTTTATATAATTAAAAGATTATAGGTGCGATACCTTCGTATAAGTACCTATTACGTCCACTAGGCCAGTCGGTGCAAAGGTGAGTCTGACGGAAAGTTCAACAACTTCGAACTTGACTCAATGAAACGACTGCAGCCGTCTGCGTACGCCAATTGCCCGCGGAATAAGGAGAAACTATTCGACCGTACGTGACACCAAGCCGCCCAAGCTAGCTAGTTGGATCGATCGCTGGCAACATTATATATATATGAAGCCTACCGTATAGACCAGATCGAACTATTCATCGCGCACAGCGACCGGACTGTACGGCGCGCCACTTATCTTTGCATGATAACGTACTGCACAAGTACGTCTGTTGCAGCGCTAGCTCGCAGAGTGACGACCACTCAAGTAACTTCGCGTCAGGCGTTGATTTTTGCCGTTCATCAAACATAATCCTGTCCAAAATCGTGAATGCAATCTTCAACGTCGAAACTTTTCACCGTCGAATACGAGAACAATTCTCAGCGGTTGAAGTTTTATACAAATGCGCGCAGACACAATATCGACGGTTAACAAATATATTTTGAGACTGGAGTCGATGTGGGTTCAAAGCTTTTCTGGTAGAGTCTGGGTAATGTCCGCATCATTGCATCAGGTAGGCCGGCCTGGATCGTTGCACCATTGCAGTAGCCACCATGAGTCCCACAAGGACTTCACATGAGGGCGTTCGACGGAGGCGTCTATTGCAAAACCGCCGGAACTCGGCAGCAAGGCTCACAAAAGGTCAAGCATTCAACAACCACTTTCCTTTAGCCAGATCAACCCACTTGAAAGCAATGCGTTGCATGGGTCAAAATTCTAATGTTATGAGTTTCCCACTGACACTTGGATTTATGCGGCCTCCGTTTTCAACCTCTTTTCACCCTAGAAAACCTACGAACGTACCTATCGAAGTGCTCTATGTCAGTCTCTTCCGTCATGAGTATTGAAGATTCACGCTTTGACTCAGTATACACTATGAGATGGATACACGCACCTTCACCCTGCACTGCAAAGTTTGCCGTGCATGCTGCCTCAGACCTAGAAGAGAACTTGAACCCAGAGGAGAGAAAAGATGATGGCCAGCATGAGGCACCACACGATGACAATGGTGGGTACCCGTCGGTGGCGGCCCATGAGCCCCTTGGCGAAGGGGTACATGAAGGTGAGGACAACTATGGCATACACAAGCCGGACAGCGAGTTGACCTGCGAGCAGCAAGCCACGGAGTCAGCATAAGTACAAGCATTGAGAGACCGGCAGAGCTCCATGACAATATTCAAAAAGCTTTGTGGCGTCGATTGCATCTAACGACAACCCTTGTATGAACCCACAAATGAGACTTGCAACAGTCCCAAGGCTGTGGCAGTTTGGCTGGTGAGCTTCAAGGAGGAGCGGGATCCTGAGCGTACAGACCATTTTGCAAGACAGCCACTCCATGGTGACTGGACAGTGATGCAGAAGCGGCCGCCTGCCTTACCCCACTCCGGATTCTTGTTGTTGACGGCTTTGGCCAGGCCGGCCACAACGCCAAAGCAGTTAATGAGGATCACCGTCAGCGGGGTGATGAGCAGCCACGTCCACTGCAAGCAGCACACGCGGGCGGGTCAGCACCCAAGCGTCCAGCTGGCGGTGCAATCGCGGGCAGCTGCCGTTCCCTGAATGCTAACTGAAGAAAGCACTTTGAAGCCGCGTGCGTCCCGACCCCTGTTCTCACCCGGAAGGTGTAGAGCTCGGCGTAGTCGTAGTGGCCCTCGTGCTCGTGCGGGGCGGCCTTGAGCGCGCCCTCGCAGCCGGCGAAGACGCGGAGGGAGCCCTGGCCGACGGCGGCGAGGTAGCCGCTGGTGCAGTTGATGACCCACATCTGCTGCGCGCGCCACCACTCCTCGAGCGGCACCGCGGACCAGCGCATCTCGAACCAGCAGCTGAGGCCGTACACGAGCGCGTAGGCGACGAAGATGCCCGCGCCGATGTTGGTCACGTGGCCCACGATGAACTGGTTGGTGATGAGGCAGATGGCGGGCAGCACGCAGTAGGCGCTGACGGGGATGGCCACCATGGGGTACGCCGCCGCGTTGAGGTACGCGAGGCGCTGCCGCCGCTTCAGCTGGCTGCTGCACGGGCGCCACCACAGCACGTTGTACTTGCTCCAGTACGTCTCCACCGCGCCCAGCGCCTCGGTGAGCACCGCGTGCAGGCGGTCCGCCAGGTTGATCTGCGCGGGGCGCCGGAAGGCGGGCCGCTTGGGCAGGCAGTAGATGGAGCGCCAGCCGCGCGCGTGGACCTTCTGGCCCGTCACCACGTGCTCCGCGCTGCTGCAGTAGATCCACCCGATCTCCTTGCCCCACTGCGTGTTCTCCTCGTACCCGCACGAGATGACGAGGATCACGTCGCTCAGCGTCGTGCGCGGGCTGTTCACGGGCGCGCCGCCCGCCGTCTCGAACGTGGACGACACGAAGTTCTCGCACGTTCCGTAGCGCGCCGTGTGCCACTTGAAGGGCATCAGCTGCAGCTCCTCTGCACACACGAGCCCGCCCCGCCGCGTCAGTTCTTGCCAAAGCAGCACGTCCACCCCGCCCACCAGCTGCGCTTCATCTTCCAGCTCCAGCAACACAGCATCAGCGGTGAGGAGAAGGGCAGCGGAGTTCGGCAGGTGCTACGGCTGCACCACAACATACGAGAAGGCTCGCACGCCGTGTTTCCGGTGTCAGCACTTCAGACAGGGTTCCGGGCCAATCCATGCGGCACAGAGCGCTGCATGCTGCATGCTGACCTTGGTCCTGCTCCTCGAGGTCCATCTCGCTCGTCTTGTTGGGCCGCGCAGGGCCGCAGCAGCCGAAGCAGGAGCAGCACAGCCCCAGGCAACCGCGCTTCGGCTTGGCGCGCTTGTCCAGCTGGGGGGGGAGCGCGCCATACAAAGACTGCGCACACAGCAACACAGCGGTGGGTCAGCCCAGGCAGGCACGCAGCACCCGACATTTACTGTACGGGAGGCTGGCCAGCGACTGTTGCTGCATCAAGATTTTACGTGTGAGTACATGAGGGCAGCGCGGCACAGGGCGCTCACCCCTCTACGGAAGACGGTGCCGTTGCCAAGAAAGATGGGCCCCTGGATGCCATCGAGGCCCTTGAGGTAGATGTCATAGAAGGCGGTGTTGTGGTTGTTGTAACGGTCGTGCGGGTCCACGCCGTCGTAGCGCAGCGGGAACTGCACGTACGACACCTTGCCGCCCTTCTGCGGGTCCTCGAAGAAGCACATCGCCTGCACACCACCCCGCACAGTGCATCAGAAACGCCACCACGACAGCATTCTCAAGTCCCAAACAGGCGCCTAAAACGAGCAGGAACCGGGGACGGACAGCGGGCTCTGTTAACCCCAAGAAGCGGGCCTGCAGGCACAGTGGCGGTGGCAGCGGCTACACATGTAATGGTGGCGCACCTCCTTGACCCCATTGGCGTTGTTGACGTAGGTATCGCAGTCCATGAAGCAGATGTAGGGCGCGTTGGTGATCAGGGCACTCGCACGCAGCAGCGCGTTCATAGCGCCCGCCTTGCGGTGTGTGTCGTACCCTGGCCGCTTCTCGCGCGAGAGATATACCTGTGGCAGGGCGCGCACCGCAAGAAAGTCAGCCCCAGCGGAATCTTTGCCCACGGTGGGCTGAGCGTCTGTCAGAAGTACGTCCCTGCAAGCACCCGGGGAAGCCGCGCTGAAAGGCCCCGCCCCGCTTAGCCGTTGCAGAACAGGACAGATACGTGAGGGCGTGGTGCTCACAAGGCGCGGGAGCAGGTTGTTCTCGTTGTCGAGCGCGTTGACGTTGGGCTGCAGCAGGATCTGGATCATGCCGGGGTGGTCCTGCGGGTTGTTGCCCGGCCACGGGGTGCCGTCCGCCACTCGCCAGCCCTCCAGCGGCCTCTGCTTGGCGCACTTGGCCACCAGCGCGTTGATGCGCACCTTGAACTCCTCGTAGTGGTGCTGCACGCACAGCACCGCACACGCACCTCAGCACAGGCCGGCAAACGAGCCGAAAGGCAGCACCTTGACTGCCGCTCTCTTTGCGTCCAGGGCTTCAGACGAAAGATACGGCTTCGACACGGCGCAATTGAGGCAGGGTTGGGTGGTGCGGGGTGGCTGACCTTCATGGCGCGGCGCTCCTTGACGAAGTCGGGGTGCTTCTTGTCCTTGGTGTAGTCCACCTTGATCGCGAAGTAGTTCTCAGGCGCACGTGGCTCAATGTCGAACTTCTTGCAGAAGGGCACCCAGTCGCGGGCAAAGCTGGCCGTCTCCGTCAGCACCTGGAACGTCAGCATGGACGCGCCCTCGTCGTTCACGTAGCACGACACCCTGCACGCAGCGAGAGCAGCGCTATCTCAGGGTGACGTAAAATACTTTTTTAAAAATCCTGGTCCGGAAACACACCCATGTACCACAGAAGAACGGCAGGATTGAAAACTGTCGCCAGCACCTGGGAGGGCTGCCACAGGGAGCCTGCTGCGGGGAGTGCTCACTTTTCGACAGGATAATCGAGCGCCAACACAGAGAGAGCAGCATTGCAGGTGAGGATCGGCGAGTCGTTCTCGGGGTCGGAGGAGTGGATGAAGAAGTCAACCGCGCGCAACTTGCTGTCCTCGTTCTCACGATCGTACCTGCGCATCATCACCACAGCGCTCAGTGCGGGGCAGGAGAGACATTGCCGGTGTACATGTCACACTGAGGTTAAGTAGCCCTGATACCTCAAATGAGAAGTCCACTCCAGAATGTAATCTGCTCCGCACTCCTAACAACCATGGTCTCCAGATCGACCATACCCGTCCCCCGGGCGCTCGTACCAGTGTAACAACTCCTTCAGTAAATTCTTGAGTTGCCAACGTCTAGAGAACAGGGCCGGCCAGGCAACATCTGCAGGGCTACCAGCAAAGTGAGAATCAAAGTGGAGGGCCGCCATTCTGAGTAGCTGGTCCAAGCAACCCCAATGATGCGGGTTTTTGAGAGCACTCACTTTTGCATAAGACGATCCATGAACGTTTCACGGTTGACGGGCCCGAGGCGGGGGCCCTGGTCAATGAGCCAGGCAAGGCCGATCCAGATTTCACAGATGACGGCTGTCATCCAGAGGCCAAACGCCTTGTTGTTGGGGTTGGTGATGCGCCAGAAGAAGAAGCCTAGCATGACCAGCAGCCGCAGGAACACCAGGAACCTGCGCACAGGGCCACCCCGATCGTGAGAACGCCGCCAAGCATAGGCAACAATACCGCCAGGATACCTTGCCCGCAGCTGAGCGTAACAGTGAAGCAGCGCGAGCAGCGCAACGAGTGGACATACCGGAGAGAGCAGTCGATCACCTGTAGGGGTTGATGAGGCCGGCTTTGACAGGGACCTTGCGGTATAGCTGAAGGCGCGCACGGTCGTAGCTGCAGCGAAAAAGGACGAACCATCTCAAAAGCTGGTCGCATCGTACACGCCCCAATGGGGCTAAGCCGACACTCTGGCCTGATTCCCGCTCCTCAGACACCAATACAGTTGGAAGAGAGCTCTTCACAGAAGGAATCCCTCTTTTGGGCTGGCATTCAGCCAGATGCGCCCAAACGAAAGCTTTCTGAAGTCGTGCCTTTCTCTGTCTTGGCTCGTTCACCTTGTAAACTCTTCTGAAACGGTGGACCCTCCCCCACCCTCTGGACCCTCTGCTTCCGACCCCTCCAGGTCGCTGTCATCGCGGCGACCGTACTCCGGTGTGTTGAGGGGCTGTATGCTGCCATCTGTACAACGAGGCCAAGACAGGCAAACCAGTACTCAGCACACCTCCCAGCAGCAGAAACACATGGTGGTCATGGCGAGCCAAGGCGGAAGACGAGAGCCACCTGGCTCAGGAATGTCAGGGCAGTGGGTCCACAAAGTAAGGCATACGGTGCGGCCCCTCACAGTTACTCTTGCGCGCTGGCGCTGCTCTGGGTGAGTTGGAACCGAGGCGGGGGGAGGAGACGCGGGGCAGGGGCGGCAGCTCCTCCGTCATGCTGGCCGGGGCACGCGGTGCGGGCGGGGTGTCCAACGCGTCCTCCTCGTCCGCCCGGGCGGCCGCTGCGGCCAACACCTCGGGCGTCAAGCGCGTAGGCTCCTGCACGCAAGACAAGCAAGCCTCCAGGGTCAGACTCCTTGATGCTGCACCGCTTAGAAGCTTTGCAGCATTGAATAGCGCACCACAATACTGGCTGACATATGGGAGCGTTTGAAAGGCTTATGTCAACCCAAGGTTCAAGTAACATCTGAAGGCACAAGTGTCAATGATCTTCCAGAATTCCATTAGGTGTGCACACAAGCCAGATCTGTAAAAGACTTCTTAATGGGTGGATTTTCTGCTACAGAAGAAGCTGGCAACAACTAGGGTTTTCTTGACTACGTTGCCCACGGCAATCACTTCGACCCATTCTGCCCGGATACTAAAGCATCGCGCGCTCTGCCGTGTTCGATGTCACAGTAACTTCTCCGTCTGTTTCCTTTCCGGCAGGATGTGAGCCCTCAGGCCACAATTCTGATACGGCACTAAGCACGGTGCTTTACATTTTGCCGGGCTCTTTCAATGCTAACTATACAACGACTGCTGAACTTCGGCTAAAACACCAAGTTTTAAAAAGGTCTTGAGGGTGCCGTCCAATGTATTAAAATAGCAGATCATTCCTGGTGATAGTACACCACCCTCCACATGTACCACTTGAGTGCCTCAACAGTGGTCAACATTTGCAAACCTGAGACCCTGCCTTTCGCAAAGATAGGTGTCAGAAGGACTGGATTTGAAAGAAAGGTCATGAAACCTCCACTAAATGACTGGCGTCAAAGTAGTCAAGGGCCTGGTCCCTGCCTGGTCCCTTCTTCCAGGAGGGATCATTGACAGCAAATGCATAAAATTCAGCAGTCGGTCCTAGGGTTCCTGCCAACCATGACTGAACAAGAGGCCACCGCCGCCTTTTTAGTGAGCGCTCAGCCACCAGAGGGCCTGCGCTGAGCTCTATCTTCCGGCGGAGCACATGGTATGCGTTATGAAAATAGGGAAAATTCAAGACTTCAGATCTGGTGGCAGGGCCAACGAGTGACCAAGCGGTCTCCTGACATGCATGGCACATTTCTACACAAGTTGCTTGAGATCCAGCCTCAGGACTTGCGCCCCTTTCACGCAAAACCGTACAGGGCCGTACGCCTCTAACTATGTCAAGTCTGCCACCTCTACTGTGCCCTTCAGTATCAATATAGCAGCAGATTGCACAAGGGCACACAAGTTACACCTGCTGCAACTAAATGTAAGGATGTGGGTTCAAAACTGCTGCTTGGAGGGATGCCCCACGTTTGACTGCCAAGCAAGTACCTCCTTCTTAGGTCAGTCCATGCAAAGGTGCGCGGGCAGCCTGGTGCTACACCATGCAACAAGCCAATCGCCAGTATGTGTAGCATCTGGCAGAAAGTCCTTATATCCAAGCTACAGTTGTGTAAACAAGAAAGCTTGGTCAGAGACAACGCTTTGCTCATTTGGTTGACATGGGACAAGATCACGTACCATCATTTTGCAGCACCTCTCCTCTCAACGCCGGATGTCAGCCGCATGCTCTGCAACCTGAGCTTTCAAGTGGCAAACCTTCCACAACTGCGCAGCCGAGATTACACGCTTGCCGTGCACGACCCAATTTTCCTCTTCCAGTTATGTGCAACCCCACATTGTCTTTCTACATGTGAATTGTGATCCCTTGGAATGTGTTCAACGGTGATAGCATTTGCAAAATGTTAAAACCGAGCTGCTCTTTCCTCCTTTCAACTTTCCAGTGCAACCATTATCAGCGACCTTGCTTGCACATCGTGCTCTCACGAATGCCCGACAATCCTGACTGCAGGAAATCTCTGGATCGCGAACTTGAACTCGCACTTCGTAGTCACGAAAGCTGATGTTTGCACCGGTCGTCTCGGACAGTCCCTCACACATGAGAGAGCGGTCTCATCTTCCTACGAGGCTAGACCTACTACATATACAATACACAGTACTCGGAAGGTACGTTTCTTACCTAGGTACCGTAACAGCGTACGCATAGCGGCATACCGGCACTGCTAGGTTTTAGGAATGAATAGGTAGGTACCTACCGTATTGAGTACCTACGTCCACGAGCCTCTTGAAGTGGTTTTGACCGTAATTTTCTTGATATACTCTTCGGACCTGAAGGGCGCATCTAGGGCGCCCTAACTTTTGGTAGCTGATAACGGTCTCGTGCACCGCGTTTGGGGGTCGGCCATGGTGGCCAGGGGAGTGGCAGCCTGGCAACAGGCTGATGGGTGTGTGGCAATGGTTGGGAGAGCGGATTGCAGGATGATGGAGGTGGCGGGGACTATCGCTCTTAGAGACAGCCTCTCGGGCTCAGTCCATTGCAGGGGACTCAGCCGGTTGATTCCGCCTCAATGCACACTGACAGACTTTGCGCAGCCGCAGACAACCCTCATAGGCTCCGGGTCACATTCGGTGGATATCCGCTCATCTACTGGCGTGAGAGGATACATTGCAGAGAGGCGAGGTCATTCTGGCAGGGGATTCGTAAATGGTGGAGTCCATGGCATCTTTTATGCAGCGGGCATCCATGCCATCGGGGACAGTGCAGAAGAGCATGGTGAGCATGCGGCACGACATGTGGGAATCGAGGACGAGAGGCGCAACATCAAGCGGTGGACATCATCAGCAACGACTGCCGTGGAAGGCACCTTCATGCAGGGCGGTGGCGGACCACGTTTACCAGCAGGAGGGCCAGCTCGTGCTTCACAAGACCGGGACCCTCTAGTATATGACTTTGCGCAGCCGCCTACACCCCGTTACAGGCTCCGGGTCTTCAGTGCTAGTGTCAGAGTACCGGTTTACGTGGGGTTAGTTAGCGGGTCCGGTAACGCGTTCTACTACAGTTCTTGAGGGGGGTAGTCGAAGCTAGTGTGGGTTAGAGGTAGTATGAGATGTTTCGATTCTTAATGATTGCTTGCATGCAGGACTATTGTGACCATGTCACAACCCATGTAACACTTGCGTTCGCTTTGCGAACCATTGTAATCGAGGTCGTATGTGTGTGTCTTGAAGTTGAAGTTGAAGGCAGCCTCTTCAATTAATTTGCCAGTTTTGGCGGCAAATTTGAGCCCATTTGAGACCGCCGTGCCTATCGAACTGGTCGAAATATTAAATATTCCGAAAGTCGACGGGCCGAAGCTTGACTCCCTCGGGCCCGTCGGAAGGTGACATCGGACGAAGAGGATTTGATCCTTGTCTACAGCCTTCAATCTTCACCGTCAAAAGATTCACGTTCAGGTCCCGACTCCCGACTTCCAAGCTCCAGCCGATCGTTGCGAGAAATGGGATCCGCTGGTTCTGGCAACTAACCAAGAGGTGAACGGGATAGAATTGCCCAACCACATTCCGCCAACGTGTCCCCCCACTCCGCGAAGGAAGGCTGCGGCCCCGCGCCCGGGCCGACCCCGGTGAGCTCGGGAGTTGCCGCGTAACCTCGAACCTTCCCCTCTCACTGCAATGCTGACCACCACTGGGTCCAAACCGCGTCCTTCTCCCCCTTGTCTGCACGTTCTCTTCTTCTGGGCCAGTTTTGCGACTCGTCCTGTTCCCTCGGGAAGAGTCGCAAAACGTTTGTCAATTTGAACAATCTAGCAGCTGAGGGCCAGCAAACGTGCATAAACAGCTAAGTAGCCAGTGCTCAACGGGTACAGCTGCCTAACGAGCCACTGCAAAACTAGGATAGCATAAAGACCACTCAGTTGCCATGATGCTTCATTTCTCAAGTTATGGCGGAGTACATCCCTCATTTCCGCAACTGTGGCTGGCAACATCCCTCTCGTAAAGTTTGCCAACTCAGGACCGCACTTCTGATCCAGCGTCTCTTGAGGGGTTTTGGACGATGCCGACTTAAGCAATTTGCTGCAGCCAGCGCTCTGTGCGGGGCTTGACAATATGCTTGAGGAGCAGGTCAGTTTAGCCGAAAAACCTTTCACAAAATCATGGCCTACCTGCTCATTTCTGATTCAGCTCAAACCACTGAGCAGCTCCACGCACAGCGCAGCTTGGCTTGGTAATGGAACCGGTTGCGCTGAGCCTCAATGGGTCTAGCTGAATCATCTAGCATTCTACTGTAGACAAGAGCATTGCAGCGGCAGAATTAAGGCAATTGCAAGCAACCAGATCAATGCACTGTTGACTACTGTCCAGCTTTTGCATTCTATATAATGTTGCTTTGTTGCAAAAGCTAGACATGAAACTATCTTCATAGAATTTGGCACGTCCTGATATATAGTTGCGCCCTAGTTGCATAAGTGCATGCACAAAGGTGGTTCAAATGAAATTGCAGACAGCCAAAGCGGTGCGTTTTTAATTGAGATACGTCAAGCTATGATGGCCAACTAATTATACGAGAATGTTTGCATCATCATGGTCACTAGCTCGATTATAAACCCTTCTAGCTGAGCCACGCATAGAGCCATCGGGCAACACGCCGTCGAGCGAAGCCCATACATGTAAGGGGTTGGACGGACTTGCCTATACGCCTGACCGAAGCTACTCCAATTCTGGCGGCTGATCCTGGTATATTCATTGCACATGATGAAATAATGAATTAAGAATCAACTATATGACGCTTTCCCAATGATGCTTTGTCATACTACACGTGGATGCATGGTCGACAACATGCGAGGTCTGGCCCAATGCACGTTAATTGCCTGTGAAAGTCCGGATGTATTGGGTAAAAGGAACCGAGTGCAACTTGATTCTGATCCGCCAAGTCCGAGATAGCCGCGAAGTGCACTTGCTTTACATGCACCAGATGTCCATTCCAAGGATCAACATTGAAATGGCAGGAGAAGGCATTTTTGTGCGCCTAGCCAACCAGCGCTATATACATAGGCAGGTAGGGACGGAACAAAGCAAGGCTCGCGGACATCTACACGCACGCCAGAACAGCGCTTGATTGAGGGATCCGAACTCGCATATAAACAAGTGGCGCTATTATGTGCGCTCAAGGGACCCAACGATTTAGGAAACGGCCTATCAAATGCAATCTGAAGGAACTCTCTGTGATTCTGCAACTATGTTGTGAAAGCAAATTAACCTTGTTGCCAAGTTGGCAACTAAAGTTACCATGCTCACACTGTTGCCTTGCCGTTTAGCAGATTTTTCCGTGAGCCTTCAAACATTAAGCTCTTCCTCCTCCCTCCTCCCTCCTCCTTGAATCTTACCGGTCCTTTAGAACCATCTTCTCGGACAGCCAGTGCAAAGTTGCCGACCGACGTAGGGCTCCAATCCGACTGTACCAACTATCCTGGTCCTCTCGGGAAACTATCAGGAGCCTCTGCAACCATGGATGCCCTCTACGCTCAACCTCCTTCAGTAGGTTCAATTGCCGACGACTAAATCGCCTATCGCAAACAAAGCTGTAGATCATATTGCAAGTCCAATCGGAGCCGAAGTCCTGATCCGGAAATCTGTCCGCCGGTCTGAGCTCGCTCTCCTTCCCTGTTGGCACCTTTCTGACCACAAGAAGTTCCTCCTCTCCCGCCTTCTCCGGCTCCTTGCGCTTACGCCCCTTCGGCTCCTCCTTGGCACCGGCGGCTGATACCTTCGACCGAGTCCGCCCTGTCCCTGCCTGCTCACCGCCACCCGGGACGGTCTCCCCAGTACCGGCGAGCGCACGCTTTTTCGAGATCGCACCTAGGGCGCGCTCCTGGACCTCCTCGGGCCTGGGCCTCTTTCCCGCCCTCGTTTTGCCGATTCCGACTGCTTTCCCCGCCTCTTCAAGCTTGGCCCCAGTCGCTTTTTCATCTCCACTACCTGCCGCCGGTGCATGCGCTTCCTGCGCCTCATCCGTTTCCTTCCGCAGCCACTGCACCCACTGGGTTGGAAGTGTGGGCGGGCTGTACGGCGTCTGCCGAATATCGCTCTCCAGATTGCGCAAGATCTCCTTCAAAGTTACATAGCCCTCTGTGGGGCTCGATTCCTGTTTGCTCTGACAAAAGAGCACCCACGGGTCTCTCTTCGGGTCTCGTTTCGCTTCCAGCAAGACCACAAACCCATCCCAACCGTCATTACCGGGACCGACAAGCCCGATACTGAGGGCCTCCTTGCCCCACTTTCCTGCCCGTATCCGTTCCTGAATCTTGCCCGCTATCGCGGCCACTGTCGTGGCAAACGCCTGTTTCGTCAGCTGGTGACCCATGGGGAGCCCGTCGCCCACACTAAGCGGGCCAGGGGGAACCAAGAAGCGCTTGCCCGCAAGGTCCGCGGGTATCCGAAGGTTTGGAAAGGCTTCGCTCAGGGAGAATTCAGTCCGTCCGATTAGATGGAGAGCTTGTAACTTCAAAGCCACTGCCATCACGTCCGCCTTCTCCTTGTCTAGTGGGCTCTCGCGCACCATGGCATCACTGAAAGCGCTCAGGTCGCTTTCTCGGACCAGTTCCATCCTCTCCAACAGAAGGGTGAACATGAAAAAACCCATAGACACCTTTACCCATTCGTCGCCCGGCTCGCTGGTGGGCTGGGGGCACGCCGTCTCCCGGTTCAGCATACCCAGCTTGGTTGGGGAGGTGTTGTCCCCACTTCCAGTCTCAACGAGCACCCCCCAATCCTCATCCCTAACAACGACCTCTCCTCGCCCACCTTTCCCCATGCGGTTGAAGGGGGGAGAAGACGCTCCCGAAGCAGAGCCGCTGCGCACTGACGGTCCTGGCAAAGGAGTTGCGACAGGTTCTGCGGCATCGGCTCCTTCTAAAGGAGAAAGGGAAGTTGGGCTCGGAGGAATCGGAAGCGCGGTGGCCGATTGCGCAGGCAGAGCAGCAGAGGGAGTGACGGGCTGGTGTGACGATGGCTGGCTTAGGGGAATGAGGAGAGGAGCAGGTGTCGCTCGAGTCGCTGACGGAAGGTCCTCGGGCAACCTCTGCACCGAGTTGGGATTGGTGGAGCTTGGGCCTCCTGAGGCGGTTTGGCTTGGCTGCAAAACCCCGACTCTGAGCTGCAGCGACAGACGGAAGGGTTGACAATCTTGCGCATCTTCAGTGTTTGCCCAATTGCAAAACTTGAAGAACATGTTGAGAACGCATGCCAGAAGGCACTGCTTGCTCTTGCAGAAGCGTTACCTTTTCGAAACACGGTCCCTTGAACAACTCTGCTGGAAGCATCACGCCCTGTGCTCGATAAAGCGACCAGTGGAGCAACAAATGCTGACCTACATCAAAGGCCGTACGAAAGGCTGCTGATATTAACCGTGCATGATCAGCTTTAGCGGTTGAGGAGCTCACCAGGGGGATAAGTTCCACAACCCCGTCGCCCTCGAGCTCCCCCCAGGTGATGGGCAAGTCCAGCCCCGAAAACGGGTCCTTCAATCTCTCTTTCCTCTTCACCAGCAGATCCAGCATCATCGTCGCGACCACAACCTGCAGGCAGCTCTTCTTAACCTCCGGCGACGCTGTGAGGTCGATGATTCTTTTGAGTTTCAATTGCTCATACGCCGCCTGCTTCACTTTCTTCACAATGTTCACCAGGTTCGAAGGCGTGATGGCTTTGACGGCTTCGTCAAGGCCTGCACAAAAGTGGAAGAACCATCACAATGAATCGTGATTACCAGGACCAACGATGGGCTGCAGCTCCATCGGCAGAGCTGTGTGACAATGGGAATGCGATTCTCCTAGCACATCTCAGAAGAAAAGCTCCCAACCGGGTACTGATTCTCCACAATGTCAAGGCCACTGAGGAGGAAGCATACGAGCCTCGCTACGCGGAGACTTTAATTCCACCTTGTTAATGAACCTGACCTGCAGATACTAGGGTGACTTTCGGAGGAAGCCCGACAATTGGTGATGGAGGGGAGCTATCCAGCCGACATTTCTTTTTTAGATCAGTGTGTCAGGCGTTCTTCCTTACTTGCAAGAACTCTCCGAAGTCTGTGCTCTTTGTGCGAGTGCAGATTCAAGGTGCTTACCCGTTGCCCAGGACCGGCCCCCAATGCCCTCGAGCAGCCACGACACAAGGCGTGGATTGCCGCCAACGATGTCGAGGCCGTCGTTACGCAGGGCAAGGGGCAGATCTTCGTGATCGAGTGCGGGTCGACCGTTGTGAGCTGCTACACGGGTAGCTAGATCGCAAATCACTTCTTTTCGCTCAGTCAGGGAGAGGGGCTTGAGGGGGATATAAGTGGCTTGAGCCTGCCCGCTTGCAGTCCACTGAAGACTTGTCGAATCCCACCGCGTTGTTGCGGTTATGGGGATGATCAGGTTCAGATTGCTTGTGTCGTCGTTGTTAGCGAGGGTGATTTTACTAAGAAACCACTTCAACCACGTGGGGTTGTCTCCTGTTTGGGGAGGATTCTCCTGCAAGGTACGATGAAGAAACCTATCAGTCAAGTCGAGCATAGGAGACCTCTGCAGTTTGCCGCTGGAAACCTGCAGCCAGGGAACAAGCACTTTGACAAACGCAGACTGAAAGTTTTGAAGACTGTGCAACTCATCTTGCACTTTGAAAGGAAGCGCCAAGAAACCAAAGGGTCTTAAGCACGTCCCTCTGGAAACGACAGGCTCTATTCCTCAGGTAACTCGACGGTAATAGGAGAAGCCGTTGAGCTTTTCGAAACAGCAAGAGAAGAAGCTCACATTCAAAAACACCCCTTTGGCAATATTGCCCTCGTCGATCAACAGGGGCATGAGGAGCAGTTCTCCTTCGGGGATCTCGAGCCCTTCGCGAGCGAAAGCGACGACGTCTTGGATCAAGATGCGATCCTTGACGGTGGACGGCCCCTCAGAGAAGCGGCGCAGGAAGGAATAGTATCCCCCTGGCGGTTTCTCGGACGGCGTGGAGTCGAGAGGGCATAGGAGTGCGTAGAGCAACCTCAGCGCTGGCGCGTTCTTGGCCGTGAAGCCGTCCGCGGCTTCAGCTTCCGTAGTACTCACGCCCTCCTCCTCCACCCTGAATCGTAGAGACGATTTTAATTGAACTTTCCACAAAAGCCCTTCACAAACACTGGTTCCTATAACAAGCACTGCAAACAGAAGAGCGGCAAGAGAAGGATGAATGGACGAGCGAGTGAGCTGGCCACTAAACTAAGACGATCAGAAGAAAGTCCCTAACTGCCGAGCAGACACCTCCGTTCTCCACAGTCGATATCAGAGCGGAGACTAAAACTTGCCTGAGCATCCCGAACGTGTGGAATCCGGTGCTGCCTGCAGCTATGCGCAACGCGCCAAGCATCTCGTGCACTAGTTTTAACTTCTCGCCGGACAGGTTTCCCTCGCCGAACATAGTTCCTCCTAGCCACCCTTTCAGGTACGCGCTGGGCTTCTTGAGCCACTCCCTCAGCCAGCGGAGGATATAGGTCAAGAACGTCGTCTTTCCTGTGTACGTCAAATCGAAGGAAGTATTGAGAGGCGGCAAGAAGGGAACGGTGAGGGTTTGAAGATGATAGAAGGAAGGATACCTAATAACTGGCCCTGTCACACCAAGGACCATGAATTGCGCGACACGAAAGCATCAGATTGGAGCTTACGCACAGATGCTTGTTAACAGCAACCATGGCCGCATGGACCAGCCTTCCGGAAGGACTGACCTGACCCGGGGCAGCTCAATAGAAGCAGATGAACCACGTGCCGCCGGTAGTCCCGCTGGTCAAGGTTGGGATTCCGCCTTTTCCAGATACTGAAGATATTCGCCATCAATGTGATGCAGCACTCGAACGCCTCCTTCCGGCCCTGAAGCCTGATGTGGTCTTGGATTGCAGCTTCGGGATCGAAGCCACCATCCCTCAGGGCACCAAGCGGCTCGCGAGAATGCGCCTTCTTCAGTAGATCCCCATATTCGGACACCAACCACTCGACAACAGAAACGTCCGGGCCACCTGGAGTGCACTCCAGCAAAGTGTTTACGTGAGAAAGACAAAGGAGGCAGAAGACGAGAACCCCACTTACGACTCCCTCGAACATGGTCTATAAGATGTACATCGCAGCTTGAATTGGGTTTCGTATGAGTTCTCTTCGAGTGCTCGGAAAACCAGAATTCGCAGCTGCCAGGCGGCCTCTCTCGGATCGCCAACCAGAAACTAGAGGCAAGAGCGTTACGAGAGGAATGGGTCCCTATCGATACGACCGTAATCAGCCCAACGACTTTCTGTAAGTTGGGATCACGTCCAACGAGGGTTCTGCTTCAGCAGCTTTCACCACGAGCCCCAAGGGTCAGATCAGAACTCGACTGGACTCCTTCACATACGAGAGCAGGAAGATGACGGTAATTGCCCTCACCTTGTTGAGCAACAAAGACGTATTCGCCGGCCTCAAGCTTGTCCCCCGGGAGCGTCGCAACCTCTTCGTCACCAGTTCGTCGAAGCAGACGGCCTTTTCCCCAGCCCAGCTCCTCGTCGAGGTACTGCATGACCGCAACCCGTTCGCAGGGCAAGGGGATCGGATCGGAAGCATCGGAGGAGCCCCTCCTCGTGATGTAGATGTACGACTTCTCGCATGCGTCCTGCAAGGGAAAAGCGACTTTAGCAAGAGTCCCGCAACCGAACAAATCTAACTTGTGAATCTTGAGGGCAACGACTCCCAGCTCACCCTCGACGGCACCATATTGTCCGAGCCCCACCTTGTCTTGGGCATGTCCTGTTTTGCTACAGCGCCGGTCGTTGGGAGTGTGCTGGATGCGGGGGACACAGAGGCCCGATCGAAAGCACAATGTTGGAAAGCGAAAGAGGATTTTTCCCGAGCATCGGCAAAGCATTTGTACGATAATAAAGGATACGGCCTCTTCGAGATGGCCTTACCAGATTTTTCCATTCTAATCCAAACCGTTTCTGCCCTGACTGGGGACCTCATAGCTCCCAATACAACTCCAACTCAATCTGAGCTGCCCTGTAAACAGATTTGTTAAGGCCTGGATTGCGCTTATGCAATCTCGAGTTGCTATTAAATACCAAAAGGCAACATCTTCTGTTACCAAGAAGCGAAAGTTGCTTACAGTGTAAGAGCGTGGTCTCAAACAGGCATCCAGGACACATACTTGCAATCTTGCCACCCTGCCAAGCAATCAGGGCTGCCTGGACCACCTTCTCCGAGATCGGGGTTTAGGCACGGATGCATAGCTGTTTTCGGTAAAAGGAAACCGGTTGCAGCTCGGTATGTCGAAGGCACTTTGTGGCCTTGGTACGAATCTTATGGAAACCGTTTGTAACGAAAATCCGCAGTCCAAAACTAGAAAGTTGCTGAGGTGATGCAAAGGTGAGACATACCCCCTTTGCAGTGCGGCTTTCAGCTGATCCTCCTGCTCCTCCGGTCTCGTCACCGTGTCCACCTCCTCCCCTAAGGCGATACTGGGCTTCCAGTGTGTGGAGGGGCCTGATCCCATAGCTTCGTAGGGGCATGGTCGGATCGAGAGGCCGCCCACCAAAGGACAGCCTTATGACCGCGATTGGCAGCAGCCCCTGAATTTACACGCAGAAGAAACCTATGTGAGGGGCACGTTGCGCTAGGTATCAGCAGCCGGGCCAAATACGTTCTAAGATCTCGCAGTCCATTGCAGAGTCCAACCTTGTGCTTCGCGTACCACTCCAGATCACATATCTCTGTCGTCTGAATTATGGTGCACCCCAACAAACTGCAGAGCTGCTTGCCTCACTTCAACTGACTTCAACTTCAATTGACCTACCATTATACCAGAAGCCAAGCTCTACTTTTCAGCATAAGCTTTTCCGGAAATGAGATAGTCGGAGCGCCGTTACCACAGCAAGGCTAGCCACCCACCTCTAGTTGCGTCATCAGGTGTGCGACAGTGGCAGATGGAGCAGTGAACGTCGCAAGGGTTCCGCCTTCTGGTGTTCGAACCAGAAGCTGCATTCTTGGTCCCCTGCATGTTGGCGCGCGATGCATGGAATCCACAGAACCAGCGGGAGACTCTCCCTGCAGCGAAGGGAAGGAACGACAGAGTGTTGGATTTATGAGAGCCCTTTCATAAGACGGAATAAGCTTGAGAGCGACGAAAATGGAGAGTGGCTCCAGCGTAGCCAGGGACTGCATATTCTAATGCCTCGTTGAATAAACGTGTCGAGCCCTGTGAGAAGTCGAGCCCTGTAGTCCAAGCATATCTTGAAACAAGTCCAATTCGACGCCTCCCGTGAGTCAGCAGACCGAATATAGGAGTTCGAGCGAATCTCAAGGCCAGGACAAGGCTCGGGAGGTACTTCTCAAGATTCGAATTCACTGGCAACAGAGAGGAGAAAATGAAAGAGAGAGAAGAATAAAATGGAAGGGTCCAAGCTTCCAGTCAAACACCGGATCGCTGGGTATCAAGAAATCATGGCTGCTAGTGGAGAAAATACACTCTCTCAAGCACCCTCGGGGAATATTTTCGTGCCCCTCAAAACTCTTAAACGTCGTTCAGCTCGGCCGCCTTGGCCTCCGGCGTCTTCAACTGCAGGCCTTTCGGGGATTGACAATTGCAAGATTCTAAACTCAAAACTCATGATTTTTGTGTTCACATCTCCACGATTTGCATCATCCTGACGAGCCGTCACCTGCGCTTTCTTGAAGTTTTGGGCATCCTTCAGGTCGCCTTCCATGGTGACAGGCACGACGGACAGCCCCTTGACCTTCGTCAGCTCCTCGGATGACGCGAGCATCTCGTCGCCCGCATGCGAGTGTGCCTGCCAGACCTCGCGCGAATTTGTCAGCGCCAGCAGCTGCGGCGGCCAATTCACGGGGTTCCAGGTTTGCACACGAGTGCAAGGTCATTCTGAGGGTTGCCCGTGTTGCATGTTGTGTGTAGTAGAGAGCATGTCTGCATACAGGTGTAAGTGCGCCTCCCAGACCTTGCGCGGACCTTTCGGCAGCAGCAGCTGCGGCCGCCAGTTGACGAAGCACTGACTTGGCGCACTAGAGCAAACTTTCATCTGAGAAATTCAAAATCACCCTACTCGATTCTATGCGAAAGCACGTAGATTGTCTGCGTTCGAGTGCGCCTCCCAAGACTCGCGCACATTCCTCAGCGCTGGGAGCTCCGACTGGCAGTCGACGGGGTACCGACATGAACGACAGGTGTTATAGGACAACCCGTGCAGAATCGACCATTGACTCGGATCTTCAAAGAAGAGAAAGAGGAACCTGAAAACTTAGTGGCGGACGAGATCAGTAGCCAATCGGTCAACCAAACAGTGTAGCCGAAATCCACAGAGGTGCCCAAGATGCTTCTCACGGCAAAGTTGGACCATCAAAACGAAGTTCAAAGAGCGCACCTGGTCAAAACCAGCCTTGAGTGATTATCTCGGAAGTTTGGTTAAGTCAAGAACGGAAGCGCGTCACCATGCTGAGATCGATTCGCACCGGCCATTTCGAGCTTTACGGGGCAGATTGGATGCAGAAAGCGAAGAAATTGAATCGGGACGAGGACGGTTGTTCGATACTAAACGTCTTGGACGTGCTTATCTTTCCTCGCTGTGAGAGGTCCAAGCCACCACCTCAGACACGGCAAGGATAAGTGCTTCCAAGGATTGACGTGATTAGATTGGACGAATGCGGGTGAAACGCCAGCCTTGACTGGCACCTGCTCTAGGACTGTTCTGAACCCGCCACTTCCAGCCTCACCAAGCAGCAATCGGTTCTGCAAACCCAAGTGGTCCGGTTCAGACAAACGCGGTCGATCAGAACCGAAGTGCTAGCTTTGGACCGCTTTCCTTACTTCTTGCTCGACGCTCAGATTGCTCTGCATTGCCAGCTGCAGCCTTGGCTTCCCGAGCCTCGTGCCCCAGTCAGCCTGGACCTGCCGGCAGTCGATGTACAGCAGGCCCGTCACCGCAACCATTGCTACGGCCCAGTGCCAGACGACGGTGATCATGCGGCCGAAGCTGAGGCCGGCGTCAACTAGAGCGGCCGACCAGTGGAGCGGGCGTCGGTTGGGACGCCGGAACAGCGCGCGCACGGCCGTGAGGACGGAGCACGAGAGGGTGAGCGCGAAGTAGCATGCATGGAAGCGGATGCTTTCCAGAGGGGCAACCTGGTGGAGGATCCAGCGGTGGGGGTTAGAGGTGGTCAAGGTTACGGATCAGAAGGCGAGGACTAAGCGAAGCTGGTAAAAGCTAGTGCGCCGGTTGCATTGAAACCAACGCTGTTTCAAGAATCATCGGCAGATTTCTGAAGCAGAAGAGCTGTGAACACTCCTAGCTTTGCGAAACATTGCAGGTGGGACGGGTCGATTTAAAGGGGCGGCAGCACTACGTTCATCAAGCAAAGCCGAGCTGCGGTCGATCCAAGATGCGCGATAGGAACAGGAGAGTTGTTAGAGAACCGACAAGAAGTTAACAAGGTCGCTTTGCGGCCTCACCTGTTCGAGGGAGCAGATGAAGAAAAAGAAGACGCAGAGGACGGTCGCGAACATGAGCGCGCGCACGGCTTTGTTCAAGGCGATCACAGCCTTCATCAGCCGCTGGGAGGGCGCCTCGGCACTGGCCTGCAAAACGGAGCGGAATCGGAGCGGAATCAGTGAGCAGCGGAATGGAATTGACAGCATGCTGCGAATGCGGCGCAGTTTGCGCATGGAACGGTATGGGATCGGACGGAAAGGCAGACCTTTAAAATTAAGAGCAAGCATGCGCTCAGGATGCTTAAAATCTTGCAGTGGCGTTTCGGAACTGGATGGAGACTTTGCGAAGAAACATGAAAAGAGGAGGGGCACGTAAAGGGGCTTCGTTTTGAGCGTTTGGTTGCTTGATGGTGACTGCGAGCAGATGACGTCATCCGAGCCGTGCGCAACGGACGTGAAGAGGCGAGAAGCCGCCAAAAGCGAAGCAAATGAAGATCTTGCGGGAGACGAGAATGCAACGACTTGGGGAAGCCTTCTTTGAGAACCAGAGAGCAAAGGAAAAAACTGCAGCTTCGCACAGGAGTGGCCCAGTGGTTCCTAAAGCCGATCTTTTAAAAGGAGCAAGACCCCGTTGGCAGACACCTAAAATCCGCCCTTCCTGCGTGGGGAACCGATTGTCAGAAGGAGCGCAAGCAGCCCCCTTTTCAATTCTGTTAGATTGACTTTCTCAAGGCGACGGTCAAGCTGAGAACCCCGTCTCATCTCGCAAGAAAGCAGTTGTCTCGTTCACCAACCTGCAACTGCCCCGTTAACCCAACCTAAGCTTGATTCTTTGCAACGAAACAAGAAAGAGTTCCAACGATGACAACTTCGTTGGCATGCTCAAATGGAGTAGAGGGAATCAGGATGGAGCGTGGAGAACGAAGACAACGTGAGGCAACCTTGGCTACGAGGTATGCGGCCGTCAGTCTCGTCTTGTCGAGCGCATTGTCCAGCAAACTTGCTGGCTGCTCTCATTCTCCCTCGGCTAGGCGTCCTCTCGATTAACCTCAGCCGCTGCCTCAATCTCTCATCTTGTCTCTTGATAGTCCAAAGAAAGCAGTCCGTCGGCACCCTTCTCACTCAAAGAGCTTTCGTTCTTCTCGAAGGACTTGGCGCTTGGCTGTCTCAGACAAATCGCAGCGCCAGCGCCAGCGCCAGCGCCAGCGCAAGTACATTTGTTGCCCTGATCCCAAAGGTCAGCTGAAAGTCTGCAAGCTTTTCACCACCGTCCTCGGCCCGTGTGCTCCCCCAGATCCAGTCCCACCTCACCAGCTCGACCCGAGTCCTTCTAGGACAGATGTACGCCTCCCAAGGTGACATGTTGTCCCCCCAGGACTAAACCCACACACATCCAGGGCAGCGAGAAGGAGAAACTCGAAGGTTGTACGTGAAGACGAAAGCACCTCCGCTGCGCGGAGGTGCGACTGACCTGTAGGACGCTTTCGTGCCTAGGCTTGTTGATGACGATGGCGCTCAGGAAGAGTAACAGCAGCAGCCAGCAGCAGAGCAAGATGGCCGCAAGAACCAGCACCTGCGATATGATAAAGCGCTTTACAAACTAATGCGCATCACAAGACCTTCGACACCATGTCGCTGAAGTGGTGTGATGGTAGGCTGAGCAACGGTCTGAGGGGGCCACATCATTCGTTTTCAGAAGAGGGCCTCGAAAAGCTTCCAGTCCTGAGGTTTGTGGCTCGAGGCTCTTTCCCAGCTACAGACTCCAGATGAAGGTCAGAGCACGTCCAACTGCCAGCAGGGAAGTGCTCGCAGACATTTTTGCACGACACTGCCTCCTCATTCTCATACCCCGTGCCATCGAATGCAGATGGACTGTTGACAAGAAGAGCCGTCTTTTCCCGATCGACAGCAAGGAAACGACAGCTCCACTGACCACCAGCCCCATGCGTGCCTCCAGCTCCAGCGGCAGCTTGCGCTCTGTGCACCGCGGCACGCCCATGATCTGCAGCAGCACCAGGCGGCCCCGCTCGGCCCGCAGCGCCTCGCTGCCGCTCGCCTCCGCTGCCGGGGGGGTCTCGACCGGCGGAGCTTCCGGGGCGTCGGCCTCCTGACACTTGCCCCGCCGCGGGCACAGGGGGCACTTCTTCATGCGGGCTGGATGGGTGGGATCCCTGCCGGCCCTACTGCGCTCGGAAGCTTTGGCTCGCAGCTTGCGGCGGAGTCGCCGGCGCAGGTGGAGGCGCCGGTGAAGCATGGCCTCGTGCTCCCACATCATGCCCGTCGCGCCCGGTTCCCTGGCCTCGATGTCAGGGAAGTCGGCGAGCTCGGCGAGCCACCACCGCTCCTGCCTCGCCCGCTGCTCCACGCACTTATCACAGACATGAGAAATGAACTCAGGGCTCCACCCCGCCCACGTCCTCTCAGTGTGCAACGCGGCATAAGTACAGAACGGGCAACAGCGCGTTCTACGAGGGAGGGGGGGGTCGCGGAAGGGGTTCGCCGTGGGGAGCACCACTGCGCACATCGCGAGGGCGGCGTCGTCCCTCTTGTTTCTCCTCCTAAGCTCCTTGGCGGCTCGCACTGCAGTCTTGCGCTCGAGGTCCTTCTTTATGTTCCGTTTCCGCTTCGACCTCTTCCGAGCCGCCAGCTCCTCGGCGGAGGGTCCCATCTCCTCTTCGCCGGCTGCTATCCAGAGACCCACACCCGGGCCTCTCTTTCCCTGGAGCTTAGCAACTGCTTTCCGCTTTCCCCTCACCCTCTCCTCGTGACGCCACGGCCCCTCCCTTCCCTCCTTCACGACCCTTCCTCCACTTCCTTCCCCCTCGCCCCAGAACCCTGGTGGTTCGCGCGGTGGCTCCGGTCTTGGGGCGGGGGGGTCAGCAGGCCGCTTCCTCTTTTCCGGGACCGCCCATGTCAGGGGCCCTCCATTCCCCGCACAGGGGGGCTCGTGGGGGGCAGGGGGAGGAGCTCGCGGGCACTCCTTCCTTGCTGGCCAGCCCAGATCCTCCAGCCTCCCCTCCTGGAAGAATCAGAAGAACGGTCTAAGGGTACGCTTCGATCATTCTGCAAAATGCTTATGAAAGGAACTTCCTGAGATACCATGCTTTGAAAGGAGTCTGAGATTTAAAACATCTGAGGACACCTGAGGAACTGAGGTCACTGATCACGCCTGTCGCATCGCGCCTGTCGCAGTTGTACAAATATACACTTGTTCCTGGGACTAGACACGAGGAAGACCATTTTGGGAAAATGGAAGCTAAGAAGTTGTGTGTGCTGTGCAGCTGTCTTCCACTAGCTTACTTGCCCAGAATGCTCTGGTTTGTCCAAAGACATTTGGACAAAGAGTGAACAGCATGACATAACCCCAATTTGACCTGACTCCAGTGCACGTGCCTGGCCGACATGCAGACTCATTCAGGGGGACAAAATACGCCCTCGCTCCAAACAGAGCCTTCCATGATGGTGCTCTGCTTTTGGATCCCAAGTCTCCTTCCTTCGCCTGCATCAGCCTCACTCGACCAGTGCACCACCCTGGGGCTCGCACATTGGGTCTCCTTCTGCCTGTTCTCCATGTATTCAAATGCTTCCGCTTCCTGACCAACTTGAGTCCACAAATCTGAGCCTTGGGGAACGGGCTTGCACATATAATTCACCTTTCTGCTCCTGAAAGCCCTTGGCTGGAAGCGCCGCTCCTTGCCAGCCCCCTGTACCACCCGCTGTCCCTCCTGCCTGTCCCTACCCTTCGCCCTCTTGCCCTGGACCCGGACCGAACCCTTCCCATCACCACTCTCATCGTTTTTCTCTTTCTTCTGCTTCATCTTCCTACTACTCCTTTTGCTCTGTGTACTTCCCCTCTACAATGTTGTTCAATGCTGCACTTCAAAGCGCCTTGCAAGGAAGCACATGAAAGCTATGAAGAAAACCAGTCGAGTTTGAAGAGTCCACAAAACCTGGTTAGAATCAACTTCGATCCTGTCCAGAAGAAGGCAGGCACTCTAAACTTGAAACTTGAAACCCTACGGTAATGGTAATACTAGCCACGGTAAGGGTCATTTTGTAGTGGACCCCCTACCCGTACGGCTAAGGTATGATTCCGAATAAGAAACGAGATGCGACCGCGTATTCGTCGTGAGAGCTCCGTTTAGACGCCGAGATGAACGGGATAAAATTGCCCAACCACAGATCGACACGTGTCCCCTCTGCCGGCAAGACCCGCGGCTGCGCCACGCCCGGAACGCCCAGCCCAGTCCCCAACCGGGCACCAGCGCCGGTATTTTCGGTGCCAGAGGCCCCCCCTTAACCGCCCCGTCCGTTTCCGAGCTCGGACAGTACGCTGTCCATGGGGACAAAAAATCATTCACGAACCCCTCGTCATAGACGGCTCAGACAGCTTGGACCGGGGTTGGAGCCTCCGGAAAAATTCGAGTAAATTCGGTCAGACGCCGGGCTGCCTGGGTGACAGCACGCTGTCCATCGGGACAAAATATCATTTACAAGCCCCTCTTCATAGACAGTCCGGACAGCTCAGACGGGGTGGAACCTTTGCCAAGAATTTGCAAACAGAATTTGCCGCCTGCCTCGCCACGTAAGCTGTAGCTGATCAGCAAGCTGAGAGCCCTGCCTTTTGTTCAACTTGCAAGTAAAGTGACCACCAGCACCACCACCATGATCTGAGGTGGGCGGCGTCTTGTTGAGTGTTCCGCACCTGGGTGGTGCCAGGTTCCCAGCTCGAGCGTTTGCATAGGTGTTTAGACAGGTTGTGTATGGTTGAAGTAGGCTTTCAATCTGAGCTAAGAGCTGAAGAGCGTTCCCCACAGGCTGGAGTTTGTAGGCTGAGAAGTCACCGACAAGGATACCGTGACGCCGATTGCCCGCCTGTGAGCTCACACGGGGCTGCATATATCACACTGTGCCTAGTCTGCTAGTCTAGGCTGTCAGGCGACAATCACGACCTGACCAACCTGCTGAGACAGAACAGGCGTTCGATTCCCCCAGCGCTTTGCAATTAAAACCAGGGGTGAGTCGTCATCTTATCGTTTCCTGCTCTGTTCTTGCTTCAGCTTGATTCTATCATGTCAGGTTGGCTCAGTGCTCAGCTGCCGTCAATTAGATTAGTCCTGCTAGTGATTCTGAGCTTAGTTGCTAGCTCAGGGCAGACCTGGCCGTGCGCAGACATGTGTTTGTTTTTGTTGTTCTGGTCGCTAAGGTGCAGCTGGACAGATATAAGTGGCCGGTCGTTAGTCGCTGGTGACTGCAAAGGGGCTCCTACATACTTGTAATCATGTTTCTGAATGAGATGTTGCTTGAGGGGGCTTGAGGTTGGTTGTTAGGTCTGTGGCCCATGGCGCCACCTGGTCCTGATTGTTTTGAAAAAATCAAGTACTCAGCAGATGTTATCACAGCGCCTAGGTGTCTAGATAGCATGATAGAGTTCCCTTACTTCCTTCTCGTTCCTGAGTTTATCTTCTGATCTAGTGCTCAGACGCCTCGCGTACTGAGCCTTCGCTTGCGCTGAGGTTGCGTTGGGCTTGTGGTGAGTCGTAGTGTACTAGCTGCTCATGCTGGAAGAACTTCAGCGGGGCAGCTTGGCAGCGCTAGGCGTGTTGGCATAAGTTAGGGCTTGCACGTGGGATGTCGTCCTTACGCGTCCTTCCTTCTTCTACGATTGTGTGTAGAAGAATGGCGTGTCCAGGTGGACCAGCACGCTATCAAGGTTGGACTTGAGCCTACAGAACTGGCACTTTACCGACGCGCAAGTCAGGTAGGTGGCATCGCCCTGTGCTCATTGAAGATGCTGGTGGTCGTTCTGTTATGGCTGCTGTTTAGCTTGTTGGACTTGGGTAACTTCCAGAAGGTTGTGTGTGCACTCGTGTGTGAAGTTGTGCTTGGTTTGTGAAGTTGGTGTGAACAAGTTTCATCTGGCATTTGGTAGCACTGCTAGCGTCGGTTATTCCCTCTTGAAAAGTCCTCTTTTCTTCTTCTTCCAGATGGAGGGCCTACCAGATGAAGTCGCGAGGCAAACTCTCTTCAGTAGTCCGTTTGAAGCATTTCAGAAACGGCTCCGTGATGATGCTGGAAGGGAGTGCCGTAAACAGGTGAGTCCGCTTTTCTAAAAAAGCGCCCTTGCGCACGCCACTGACCCTGCAACGAGTTTTGTTCTTGTTGCGAGCTATAGACGGTTTAGAAGAGCATGCATCGGTATCTCCTGGATACAAGTTGGCGGTAGCAGGGCGGCGTGTCGAATTCTTGGGGCTCCTAAGAATGCTGTCCAAGCCGCCCAATTTGTCCATGTAGAGGGATTCTTAGTCGAAACCCCTCTTGATGGACAGAACCTTGTCCACGGCACTTGGCCATGGTGGCCGGTCTCTCAAATGTTGGGGGGTTCTAATAGTCTTGTCTGAGCCGTCTGAGCCGTCCATGTAGAGGGGTTTGTAGATCGAATCTTCTCTCCTTGGGCAGAACCCCTGTCTGAGGCAGTTGGTATGTGGGGCGAGATTGCAAACGTTGGAGGCTTCTGAAATTTTGTCTGAGCTGTCCAAGCCGTCCATGTAGAGGAATTCGTAGGTTGAAGTCTCTCTTGATGGACAGACTTCCTGTCCACGATAATCTGCCTACGTTCGACAGTGCTCGATCATTAACGCATGACGTCACTGTTATGTGCGCAGGGTTGTGGTGTATTGGCGGCGCCAATGGAATCTGAAGACGCCTCCGGTCTTGAACGGGGCAAGAAACGCAAGCTACATGAGGAAAAATGTTCGGAGCGCGAGCAAGGGCCAGCGAGTGCACATGAGGGGTCGGACGCGGCCATCATTGGTGGCGCAGCAGATGATGAGGGCGTGAGAATTGCAACCTTGTTTGGACCCACTTTGGAGCTGCGCCAGAAGGGTGTATTTATGTTTGGACCAGGCAGAATGCCCCTGAGCCAAGCCTGAAGCTCAAACTTTTGAACAGAGAGGGCGAAGTACAGGAATTTTCATGTACCTCTAAACGACTTTCTTCAGAATCACGGTCGGTAGGCTTTGAGTAGGTCGGGACAAATTAATTATACTCTTTAAGGGTAGCAATTTCGTGGCCGAACATGGCTTGTTAATCACATCAGATCCAATCTGGGCCCGCCCCCCCTTCCCTACCTTTTGCAGCACCATTTGCATTGGGAATGCTGAACTGACCTTGCGTCATTTGATCCACGCAGTGTACAACTCGGATGCACATATACACACGCCATGTAGAAGCTCGCATTCGATTTTGCCCGGGGCCCCGTGTGCGGGTCCTGACGTTGCCGGTCGCTAGATTCGTCGGATGTGTGACTGCCGAATGGCTTGCAAGATCCGCTTATAGCGTCGCCGATGCATGTCGGCATAAGTTCGAACCTGAAAATTGAAGACGGGCAAGCCTCATCCGCCAGCAGTCACCCCCGCTCGGTACGGAGCATCTGCGCACATAGATACTATGTTTGCAGCCGTTTTCTTTTTGAAGAATTGGCCTCGTTTTTCACGTCCTTTTCAAGAGCCACGCGCCGCGTGCTGGGTTAATATATAACGGACCAAGAGTCACTCCAACAACGCTTGTTTGCGCGCCAATCTCATGCTCTCAACCTTTGCAGGAACCGATTAGCCCGTTGCGGCACCAATCGTCGGCCTCTATGGGGGATGATTGCGAAGGTGCTGACGATGAGGTAGAGGAGACCGCAGCGGACAGGGAGATGTTGGACGACCGGCCTGCACAGCAAGCCAACACACCATCTGACCATCGCCGTGCGGATCAAGAGCGGGAGATTCGAGCGAGCGAGATGGTAAGCCTTATGTGGATCTTTACTTGATATTGGCTGTGACGGAGCGCTGTCTACCAAGAGCAACTTTGATTCAACGATTGCTCTTCGTAGACGGCTTAGACGGCAGTTTGGAAGTAGCTCGAAGATCTGATTTTGGATGTCTTTGAACGCGGCTGTGACTCATTTCGGCTGGACAGGGGCTCTGTCCATCCAGAGGAGCTTACATTCACGGATTTCTCTTCGTAGACGGCTTGGACAAGTTGGACGGCAGGTCGGGAAGTCTTTCACCCTTTTTGATATGGTTTCGAATAGGGGCCCGCCACGCTGCTGTGAACATAAGCTCCAAATTTGAAGACAACACAAGAATCAAATCACGCGTTTGATCTGGCGCCAAATCTTGTCTTGTTGAATCTGCACTCATGGCTTGCTCGTCACTCTTGCAGGAGACTGCAGCCTGCGCCATGATTGCGAAGGGCTACGTGGTGTTCACAGCGGACACAGTTTGGGACCCCAGTTCGAAAGGGGGAAGTGGAGGAAATGCATGATTCCTCCAAGGAAGTGGCAGACCACCACCCGCGCCAATTGCCTGACCGCCTCCTTCTTCCAATCAACCCAGAACACATTGCTCATCAACACAACGGCGTCCGGCATCGCCGTGATGGACTTTGATCATAGCGATGGGGGCATGGACCAGCTAGCGGAGTGGGAGAGAGAGCACGGCCCGTTCGTCACTCCTCGAGTGCGCACTGGCAGCGGGGGTGTGCACGTCTATTTCTCCCACTGGAAGAGTGTGGATGCGGGGTTGGGCGCAGACACCCCGACGCACTTTGCGAAGCTCGAACTGAAGGTCCTGGATCCGGTATCGGGAAAGGAGTTGATGAAGAAGGTGGGGGTCGACATGAGGGGCGTGAGCTCGGGCGGCATGATCGCGTGCCCGCCGTCCTCCTATGAGCGGGCCGGGGAGATGGCGCGCTACACTGTCGTTGGTGCGACCGAGCTCCCCTCCACGGACGACTTGTCCCCCCTTCCAGATTGGCTGATCAAGATCCTGAACGAGCGAGAGTCGGTGAGGGGCGGGGGGTGTGGGGGCCGGCGGAAAGGGCCATTGTCTGACACAGGGAAGGACGCGGGTCCCAGTGTGAGATACGAGCCGCCCGTTGCGTCGCGCGCGCCAGACCTCTGGGACACCGACCTGCAGCGGAAGGTGGTCGAAGTCATGCGAGGCATGCTCAACAGTTCCGGCGACACTTCGTCCGTCTTCTCAAAGGCGGAGGCCAACACGGTGGCGGGCCCGGACGCAGTGATGTACCACTGGCGCAACGATGCAGGGGGTCGGCCATGCCCGTACGCAGAGCAAGGGGGGCAGCCGCACAGCAGCAACAACTTCGGTCTTCTGAGAAGGGGGACGGAAATCACCTACATTTGCCATAGCGAGCGCTGCAAGACCGGCGCGGAAGGGCGCCGCAACAGGAAACTCGGGCGTCTCACATTTCCGGTTGCGGCGGCCTTCTCAGACGCCATGCCCCTGAACAACGACCGCGATCGTCTTTACGAGGACCGGCAGCTGCTCCCCTTCTCCTTCCTGCGGAATAACCTTTCGGTCGTGGCAGGTACGCATCACAACAATCTGCAAACGCTGCTCGAGTTTGAGAGGTTATATAAAACCTCGCGGCCCTCTCGGTCCCGAACACTTCTCAAACAGTACCGCGTCCAGGTAACCCCGATGCTCACCTGTTGACAACGTAGAAGAGATGGATGTCTGGAGTTGCCCTCGAGAAGAGATTCTTCCATGTGTATCGCTGATGGTCTGTCCTGGTGATATTGCTCGATTTAGTGATTCAATGCATGAGACAACGAATGCTGCACTTGACATTAGATTTCAAACCCTCTCCAGGGGACGAGGGAGGTGCGCAGATCATCGACCGCCTGCAGACGTACACGGGCCACAAGCTCGTGTTCTGCAATGAAAAGTGGTACTATTGGAACGGGTCGATGTGGGTAGTGGACGTGGGCGGGCGTCTTGCGAGCAAGGTCTGCCGTGGGGAGCTCAACAAGGTTAGCGCCGCATATAGAAAGGAGACCGCGGCCGAGCTTGATCAGGAAGAGGGCGAGTCAAAGGAAGAAGACGGGGGGGATCGTCCTCAACAGAAGGGGCAGGAGGAGAAGCTCGTCAACTTCAACTTTAACGCAAAGATGAGCCAGATCATGACGACCTTGAAGGGCTACTGCCTCGAGCCGGGATTCGAGGACGCCCTGAACAAGGACAAGGATGCGCTGCCTGTCCAGAACGGTGTCATCCTGCTGCAGACGGGGACCCTGGTTGCCCATCATCCTAAGGTGAGGTCGAGAGGCTTTTGCAAGTGCTGTCAAAGTTGTCTGTGTTGTCTATGAGAGGAGATTCGTAGATTGATGTCGCTCTTGATGGAAAGCGCATCTGTCCACGCTCGTTGACCAGCCACAATTGACAGGGCCGAACCCAGATTTGTGTAGCTTCTGCAAGGGCTGTTCAAGCTGTCTGTGTTGTCTATGAGAGGAGATTCGTAGATTGGTTTCGCTTTTGACGGACAGCACCGCTGTCCACGCTCGTCAGCCACAATTGATACGGCCGATTCCATATTTGAGAGGCTTTTGGTTTCGATTTCAAAGCACACTTGGCCGCATCTGAGGTTTGTGCAAGATCGAGCTTGACCCTGGCAACCTGAGCTTGCTAAGTGCGCCTCATGCGAAGAATGTGTGCTCCTTGTGCAGCGAACCCAAACCATAGGACTTAGCATGGGATTGAAAGCGGATTGTCGTTTTGCAGTATATGTGGTCCTTCCAGCTTCCTATTACGTGGCCTTCGACGGGGCTTGCCATGCCGATGGGCAAGACGGGCAAGTTCCTGAGCCAGATCACGCACACCCCGGAGGCGCTCGCTTACCTCCAGCGGATCCTGGGATACGGCATCACAGGGCACACATCCAACCAGGTCATGCTGATCATGATTGGAGAGGGATCGGCGGGAAAGAGCCTCCTCTTGGGTCTTGTGAAGCATCTCCTTGGACAGTTCTACAAGGATGTCTCCAAGGACATGCTCTTGACGTCTAAGGGCCAACGGCCGCTTGGGAAGGGTGCTGCAAATCCGGATGAAGCACGTAAGTAAAGCCACGTGTACATGACGCATTCTCTGCACTGTACAGAGAAGATACCTCTTTGACGTATCATCTCATGATAGGATTGTTACTTTCAAGTCAAATGAAAGAAAGAGAAAATGCAAGCTCTTGTCCAGCCACGTGTCGCTTAGTTGCCCAAAGCATGCCAGGCTGTCCCTGCGCATGGGGCTTGTTGCGATCCGGACGTCGGCCCCCTGAATATGCTCAGTGAACCCCACTGCTGATGTCTGCTTACAGGCCTGATATGATCACTTGCATCTGCCAGGTTTGCGAGACACCCGGATAGCGGTGTGCTTAGAGACGGGTGAGACGGACGAAATCTCGGAGTCTGATTTGAAGCGCCTGACAGGAGAGACGACAATCACGAGCAGGGCGTTGTATGCAGATTACGTCACGTATCAAACGACCCACCTGGTGAGTGATCATGCCGAATCCGAAATTCGAAGGCTTCTCGAATGCGTTGTCTAAGCCGTCTGTGTTGTCTACGAAGTCAGATCCGTAGCTGGTTTTTCCTCTTGGTGGACATCACATCCGTCCACGGCGGTTTGGGCAAACCCGATTAGGTCGAATAGGGATTTCAAAGGCTTCTCGAAAGTGTTGTCTGAGCCGTCTGTGTTGTCTATGAAGAGAGATCCGTAGCTGGTTTTTTCTCTTGGTGGACAGCACATCTGTCCACGGCTTGGGCGCAATCGATAAGGCCGAATCCGAAGTTCGAAGGTTTCTCGAAAGTGTTGTCCAGGCCGTCTGTGTTGTCTATGAAGAGAAAACCGTAGCTGGTATGTTCTCTTGGCAGACAACAGCTCGTCCACGGCCGGATTGAGAAGATTGCATGTCTGCGTATGTTTTATAATGTGTACCTCCTTCATTGGCAGCACATTCTGTGCTCGAACTACCCCCCTCGCGCAAAGACGTGGACGGCGGCGCTGAAACGACGGTTGTTGACGCTGGTCTTCCCGATGCGATTCTTCTATCCCGACGAAGACGGCTGCAATCCCGACAACCCCCTTCACGGAGTGCGTGATCCCGAACTCGAAGACGCCTTAAAGGCCGAGATCGAGAAGCTGCTGGTGTTTCTGGTACAAGGTGCGAAGGACTGGTACGCCAGTGGGAGGCGGCTTCTGGATATGCCAGGAGCCAGCAAGGCGTACATGCAGATGTGGGAGCAGGAGAACGACCCGTTTGCAGCTTTCCTTCAGAGGGAAGGCACCATGGACGTGAAGGCTTTCGAAAGTACGGATAGCCTGATGGAAGCCTACAACAACTTAGACAGGTTGATCGATGGTGTGAGGTTTGGGGATACGGAGGGTCCTATTATCCGGAGCACCACCAAGTTTGCAGACGCCTGTAGAAAGAAGGGCCTGGAGGGGCCGAAGAAGCCCTCAGAGTTGAGGTTTGTAGTCCCTGGGCATCAAGCCCGAGGTTACCGAGGGTTCCGACTCAACACGTCAACCCCACACAGCCTCGTTGAGAGGAAGGATAGCAGGAGTCAAAGTGTTTTAAGGCCTGGTAATTGTGAACGACCGTCTCTGCTAGCCAGTCCCGGAATAAATGCTTACATGGACTCAATGTAACCGCGCCGTAAGCCCGTGTCAAGCATCTGCTCTCCTACATACAAGATTGTCATGCATTGCTGCACCATGTGTCCGCCTTTATCTCCCACTGCCGCATCTAGATAGCTTACAGAGAATTCAACGCGGTCATCTTGGACTCTACATCATCAAATGCGCGTGCTAGAAACTTTAGTATGCCCTTCCTCAAACTAGCGGAATGAATTGGGAAGCGAACCTGCATACCTCTATTCATTAGTTGATCAGCACCGTCCGAAATCAGATTGAGACCGTTAATGTCGGCCACGAGATGCCGCATGTCGTGCTCTTGCTCGTTTTGAACACGATGCACGACGTGTGCCATTGAATGATTGTGTACGTCAGCGTTAGGAAATACACGCGTGGGACAATATTATCGTCCTTCAACTCGGGTATTCAAGAGGCCTCACGTTGAACTAATCGCAATCGGAGTCCAACTCGGCTTGCTTTGCTGCGGGCTTCCTTTGCGTTTTCGTTTTCGGTGGGGCGGTCTTCTTACAAGGGGCCGGGGGCTTCTTCAACGGCTTGCGAACGGCCTTTGGTTTCGAGGGTTTCTTCAGAGCGTCAAAGTCGGCCGGCAGCATCTTCGTTGCCGTGCTTTGAAAGGTACCCTTGAAGGGCATGTCGGTCGGGCGATTGCACTTTTTAACGGCTGAGATATGAACGGTGTATCCAAACCGTTTATTGGCAGAGCCTCGGGTCGTTTCCTGGATCATGATACAAAAGCTAACGGGTAATGGCAACTGCTTGCCTCTGCATCTTTGCGTGCGGTGTAGCTGCGATCCTGCTCGGGCCCCAGCCTGACAAGGGCGGCCCTTGACAGCGTCAATCTCCAGCCGGCTATCGGCAAGCAGCGCTAGAACATCAGCACGTTTGTCGTCAAATGCTTGAACGACTCTGAAACTGCGTTTGATCGGGTCCATGGTAGCCTGATGCACTGATAATGCTTAGCGCAGGAAATAAAGAGCGGCCCCCTAGTGCATTCGTTGTCATTGCAGGCCTCGGATCCGATCAACCGTTGAACCTAAAGTCAGGAACGCATGCAGCCACTGGCCGTAAGTGACACGTGGCTTTATTATAACCACTAATAAAGGTGAAAAATCGAGATTCCTCAACAATTTTCGGCCCCCCGCACGCAGTTTCAAGAAAATAAGCGTTTAGGAGAGGTTTCGATGTCATCTTATTGTGACCGACC